CACAACATTTTTTTGGAGTGCTTTGCAAATTAATTATGCAGACATCTGATATGCTAGTATTATTATCACCTTATAGGAAGCCCCCACCTATAAACCATATAATCTGTTGTCTGATAAGATTCTATAAGAATTTACAATGTTAAATACAAACATGATGGTATAGTGCCCTTGATTCTTCTTGTATGTGTCCTAACATTTCAACTTCAATTAACTGCTACTGTCCAGACATTTTTTAAGTTGTACAGCAAGTTTTAATGAAGCATAACATTAGCTCGTTAAGTAACTCACCCTTTCAGCTAAGAAATGTAATTTAATCATTAATGTGATTTATAGGCTTTACATTATAACTATTAGCGACCCAAGATCTCATGATATAGTAATTTGTGGTTTTGTGATTCTTTTTTTTTATATTATTGACTTTCATATTTATCAGTGTTGTTTGTTTTCTTTAGCAGATAACATGCATACACTTATTGCTGCACTTTCACCATTTTGTTACTTTATAAATGGAAACTAAAACACCTAGATATTTTAACCACTTGCCGTCCACCCGTTGTAAATAAACGGACGGATGGCAAGCTCCTTCCATTGGGGCTCCATAAATATACATCTTCTTTTTTTTTCTGCTTGCGTGGTCAATATGCCATAAAATATAAAGGTCAGGTGTTGTTGAGGTTATGGATCCCCTGGATTAACTAGATGTTCCTTGATTTATTTTTAAGAGAAAAAAATCTAGATTTACCAAGTAGTTACATGATCCAGGGAATGGCTCTTGCCCCTTGTGCGCCAGCATGTAATGTATTTTACAAAATGTTCTTTCATAGACATTTGGGTTTTAACTTTTCATTACAATCACTCTTACTTAAAATGTTATTACCTATGTGTGAGTGATGGATCTCATTTTCTCTGCAGCCCGCTCATTTGTCACGGTATATAAATGCTATCTCATTTCAGGAGACCTTGGCTACAATATAATGGTTGCAGTACATATTCAAAGGCTTTGATAAATGTAGGCAATTTAGAAACTGTTCTCTTAGTAGTGATCAGTTTTTTTCTTTTTTGTGCATCAAATTGTTTTATGCAGAAATCGGCCTATAAAGGGCATTGAAATATTGTTGGCAAAGAACTGAAATGTGACAGCAAAGCTGAATTGTGGTTCATGCGGTCAACATCTCTGAGATTTACTATATTGTGCCTTGCTAGAGTTCTAAAGAATGGATGCAGGCACACAAAGAGCCTTAAACATAACACAGACTATGCCAGTAATTCTTCAATCATTTCTTTAGCTACAAGGTTGTTTTTTACATTAAATCCCCAGGACATGCAATATGTGTTTGCTTTGGGTTACAAATTGACCAAATATATTTTTTTGTGCTACTAGTCAGACTTTGTAAGTGTTTAAGTATTCTGTATATATACTAATACATAACATTGTATTTGATTCAAATGCAAGTTCTTAATGTTAGGTTAATTTATATTTATGACAGGTATAATTGACACTTTCACTAGCATTGCCATAACTATTACAGTGGTACAATTAAAACCTAAAAATGACCTCATGACCATACGTTTGTTTAAAATTGTATTGTCTGGCCATTGTCATTAATGTGAAAGTGAGTTAAAGGAGATCTAAAGCATCACATCAGGTATTTAGAACAAGCATTGTGGAATAAATGAAACGACTTTGTTTTTATGCACTAAAATATTTTCTTAATTTCAAAACACTGCATATCCTTGCCTCTTTTGCTGTTTTTTGTGATTCTAGATATTTAATCCCAAACTGGGCCATCTACCACAATATCTTGTGCAACATGTCACATTCAGCTGATCTGTAGGAGAGGCTGTGTGAGGATGTGGGCAGGACATTAGGGAAGTAATGTGGAGCTGTGAGGGAGTCAAAAAGTCTAGTAGTTTCTGAGTACAATGCTTCTGCATGTGTGACTGCAATGGGAGATATAGTATTAGGAAGGTAAAATTAAAAGTGGACAAGGCATACAGGAAATGTGTGTGAATGTGGCTCTCAGCATCTATTCAAAGATATTTACAGGGATTAAATGTACATAGAAATTCAAGGATAAAGGGCAAGAGATTTAAATGGCATGCTAAAGTCAATATAATTTTTCGTTGTATGACTTTAGTTACACTTAAGGTGCTGGAAAGCCACTTGATCATTTCTACATATGTGCAAAATGACTGCCTTCCCTCCTTGTCCTGAGACTCAGCTGACTCCTCTGTGTGCTGTTTAGCACTCGAGGATGAAGAGTGAGATCGGTATTTTCAATTACAGATCGCTCCTGTATTGAATGAACCTAAAAGAGCTTTGACCACTCCCTGGTTCAGGTCTTCAGATAAATGGCAGCACTGGCTAGGGGACTCTCTGTCACTGATCTGAATAGGCTGAATGTAGAGGCAGCATGAGTGACCTATTTATATTTATGCTGCTTCCATAAAGAGCACTACTTGGGTTTACTGTTACACAGTGGTATGTCAACCCCCATTGTGCCAGTAAAAGAGTTTAAACAAATTCAAATGTATATAGAAAAAAAATATATAAAATTATTTCCAAAAATACATGTAAAAAATATAACGTGTATGAATGTAAGCAACATAAACATATGTGCAGTCAGAACACACATACATACAAAATGCCATTTACACTATGCATATTAGGTATTTCAAGACTAATTATAGGATCATACATTTAATTTACCTGTAAACTCATGAACTGTAAAGATTTGTAATGCATAGTCGATTTACAACTTTGAGCATGCTAGTTTTTCACCATTTCAACAGAACATTATCACTAAAGATCCTCTGCTTTCAGAAAAAATATGCTTTAGGTGAGTTTATAAGTCTATAAAATATGTTTTATTTTGCATGTGAAAAAGGCTTGAAGCTAAAAACATGAATCTCTCATATCTTACTCAGTTCTCTTGATAGTCCAATTTTTTAAAACTTAGTTTGGCTTACTGCAAGCTCCAGTAAGTGACATACTTATCAAAGTGATGTGGAGGGAAACAAAGTTCTTGTTTAATGGTAGTAGCTGCTATAATTTGTCCCCCAGAGCCCATTGGCCTTGAAATATTTGCACCATTGGCGCTCACTGTGTAGCTCTCTTGACAGGTGTTAGTTATTGGCATTGTTATTCTCATTATTGTTAATATTGCATAGATACTCACAACTTATCAACAGAGGAGCAAATGATCACAGTTTTAATTTTCATTGGTTTTGCCACCAGTTTACTGCTTGGTCTTATTCTTACTATTTGTAAACCAATTTCTAGCAGAATTTTTAGACTTTTTTACACCTTCATGTGCATGGATAGCATTAGGTGACAAATCATATACTTGAAAAAATTCTGGTGAGTAAACAGAAGTATAAATGAAAATTAATGAATGACAATTAATTTTGCTGACAAAAAATGAATATAAACAGCTATAGTCTCTGTAATTAACAGTTCCGCTTCAAAGCCAAGTAGCGCGAGCCTTCCAATGTTCGGTAGAGTAGTGCTTTACTGGGGTTTGTATTAAGATCAATACATCCCCCTAATAGAGTGCGTACTCACCACAAACTTTCGGCTGTAACAGACAGCCCCAAACGTTTTGTCTGATGGGACACCGTTACTGTGGCGTCTTTCGTATCTCGTGCTTTACCATCTGTCCTCAGTGTTAAGTATTCCCACAGTCATGCAAAGAGTTTATTTAAAATTTCTTTAAAATTAAAAAAATCACATTCGGCCGATCCCCTGAGGACGTCTGTGTTAATGAAACGCGTAGGGGCGGGTCGACCATACCACACACGTTTGTTTTCGGATCGGCCGAATGTGATTTTTTAAATTTTAAAGACATTTTAAATAAACTTTTTCTGGAACTATTACCCGATGAAAGAATTTTTCTTTGCAGGACTGTGGGAATACTTTAAACTGAGGACTGATGGTAAAGCACGAGATATGAAAGACGCCGAAGTAACGGTGTCCCATCAGACAAAACGTTTGGGGCTGTCTGTTACAGCCAAAAGTTTGTGGTGAGTACGCACTCTATTAGGGGGATGTATTGATCTTAATACAAACCCCAGGAAAGCACTACTCTACCGAACATTGGAAGGCTCTGCTACTTGGCTTTGAAGCGGAGCTGTTTATTACAGAGACTGTAGCTGTTTATATTCCTTTTTTGTCAGCACAATTAATTGTCATTCATTATTTTTGTTTATACTTCTGTTTACTCACCAGAATTTTTTCAAGTATATGATTTGTCACCTAATGTTATCCATGCACATGAAGGTGTAAAAAAATGAAGGACTTTTTCAATTTGTGTAGATTTATTCACTTTATTTTTACACACTGAGACACCTAGAAACACTTGGTTAAAAGTCACCTCCTAACCGTACACATGTTCATTTACTAGTACAGTGCCGTGTTTTTCATTGATTAACGGTACTTGCATTCATGTGGTCTTTTTATGACTTATAGTCCACAAACAGGAGTATATGGTTATTTGATTCACCTTCTAGCACTGTTAATTCGGTTTAAACATCTTCAGACCCAGCGGTCTTTAATACAGCAGCTTGTATTTTATATCACAATCTTTATTTATATTTTTGTTTTGACACGATACACTAAAAATTCATCACATTGTCTGGACATTAAAAAACTTTGCAGTATCTAATATAAGTAATGTGTTAAGGAAACACTATTTTTGTTTAAATCACTGCCACCTGTGTGATATACAGCTAATTGAACTCCTAGCGCTGCTCATCTTGTTATAACACACATATGTAGCTGGGGTGTCTGAGAAACTCAGAAGGGTTTTTAAAAAACATCACATCCCTGTCTGCTTACCTGTCTAGCATACATTAGACAAGTCCTTGAAATAAAATGTTTTTATTTTTATCTCCAATATTTATTTTCAAATTTAAAAAGGAAGATGCAGTGTTATTCTTGTTTTGACAATGTGAAAAGTGTTGCTAAAGTACAACATTAATTGGATGCATTTCTTTTGTAGTTGGGATGACAGCAGTTCCGCAAGCAGTGGCCTTAGTGACACACTTGACAACCTCAGCACAGATGACCTAAATACTTCCTCTCTTGGTTCCTATTCCAACACTGGCTCTCCTAGGAAAAACAATCAAGCACAAGTAAGTACAAGCACATAATGATTGTAAAATCAAGAAGATATACCCTTTCAGTTTGTTTCACATGGAGATAGAGATTTTGTACACTTGAGATGATAAAAATGAGCTATATTAGATAATTGTAGCAAAACCAAAAATGTTTAAAAACATACTCCTAATAATTGCTAAGCAAAATTATACTCTTTTTATATTGTGAAAAATATATTCTTCTCTTCAGCACCTTGCTAGAGGTGGAGAGGGTGTGAGTAACTGAGCAGGGCTTTTACATACTTTCCCTAAGCTCATGCTCAATTAGCTCAATTACAAGTATTGTCAACATCTAAGAAACCATTGCAGCACCAAAGGTCACAATACTGTAGTGATTTCACTGAAGGAGATGGAGCATTGTCATCCTATCCAAATGTTATGCTAGCACCATCACATTCTCAAACAATTCATCCCCACACAGCTACCTCCTCATGTATCACTTCTCCCTCCCTTTTCAGAGTGTAAGCCCTCAGGGGCAGGGCCCTCCTTACCATCTTGTCTTGAATTTGTATTGTGATTGTAATGTCTTCCTTATATTGTAAAGCGCTGCACAAACTGTTGGCGCTTTATAAATCCTATATAATAATAATAATAATAATCAAGAGGTATTTACAAGATGGGCCAGGTACAATTGGCTTACTGGTATGGGCAGTCTATATTAAACATGTGATTTTATAGATTAACTATAGATATACTTTAAATAACAAATCACCCAGGGGCAGCAATCTTAGTTTTGTAATGCCACCTGACATGTGATTTTGTTTTGGGTGGATGCACTTATATGACATTGTACTTTCCTTAGGAAAACCTCAATTCTTTTCTCTTCTTACTCTCTACACTACTTTGAAAGGATGACTGACATTTCATAAATGTGCTGATTTCCCAGCAGAATGCCCCATTCACACATCTGCGATGCGATGCTTTTTTGTTAACCTAACATTGCATGTGATCTTATGTGATGCTGGATTGTGTACGGCATCACACGTGCTCCCTCATTGCAGAAATGTGAACGAGGGCTAAGAAAGGAATAGCAGTCCATGCACAATTGCAGATGCAACAGCAAGGCAAGTGAATAGAGGAGACATTTTATAAATATAATAGATCTCGCACTACAATAGCTAAGTTTCAATAGGTATACATTCATTAAAATATGAAAACTCTAAATATAATGAAAACATTGATGTAGCTTAATTAAATACTTCAGAAAAAAACGAGTTTTAATACATGTTTATTTCCTACCTCATCTGAAATAACCTTTACAAAACAAACATTTTGAAAATGATGCCTTCATAAGATTTTGCCCATATTTTTGCTGTGATTGTACAAGTTATAAGTACAAGTCATCTATCGCATTCAGTCTTTGTAATACAGGTATCTGGAAAAAAAATAAAAAATCCCATATATTTACAGACATTCACACTTGTACATTAAAGGTAAAAATTACATTTTTTTTTTTGTAGCAAAAAACAGATACTGAGAAGCATTCCTTGACGGGACTGGAATCCTGGTCTAATGAAGAGTTAAAAAAACAAGATGATGAGTATGACTTTAGCACAGAATCAGGCAAATGGAAAGTACATTCATCTGGGTTATCTGAGGATTCTGATAAAGGGGGGCAGAAATCTCTTTCTATTTCCCAGACTGGGTCATGGAGACGTGGAATGACTGCTCAAATTGGCACGTCATCAAGACACAAATCAGGAAGCAGCTCCTTAAAAACACCAGGTATGAAGCAGATTTATATTGTCATTTGACCGTGGTATCTGTATATGAACCTGTTTTAATAGTAACTATTATTAGCATTAAACCTTTTATTGTGTACCTCAGTTCTTTCTTAGAACTGCTTTTTGTCACTGTAACATCATTGTATGGAACTAAAATATACAGTAGAGCTAAAACAGAATTCCAGCCAAAAATAAGAAAATACAAATGAATAGACCATTAAAAGATAAAAAAGTAAAACCAACTTGTAATTAAATATTCAGCTTCACTCCAGAGATTTCCTCCAAAGTACTTTTTGCCCGTAGATGTCCAGCTTGTTACTGGATGGTGAAAGGATAAGCAGCACAGTGGTGAGCTAATATATGCCACTCTTCTTTGTATTCCTAGCAGCATGCTTTTTGTTAGCACATTAACTGATTGGCTCCTTATTCTGCTTCTTCCTCTCACATTTCAGCCCTGCTGTACAGGAACTGCAAGAGGCTGATACCAGGTCAAATGCGTTTAATGACCTTATAATGGTTACGGAGCTGCATTAACCTGTGTCTTTTATGTCTGACTGGAGTTTTGCTTTAAAGTAAAATTGTGACTTGTGTAGCGTACATAGTATAAGGCTGGGTTCACACCTGGGCATACGGAATATGTGCGTTTGCCGCACGTTTTTACCGCAATTTGCGGTAAAAGAAACGCGTGACAAACGCGTGTTTCCGAGGGATATCCGGCTGTATCCTAATAGATATGCAAGGCAAATACACCCCAAAGAAGCTCCTGTACTTTTTGGGTGTAGGGCGTTTTACACCGCGTTCCTACGCACTGTAAAATGCCCAGGTGGGAACCATGCCCATAGGCAATTATTGGTTTTCACATGTTGAGCGTTTTACAGCACGTAGGAACGCGCTTTAAAACGCCCAGGTGTGAACCAGGCCTAAGAGTACGATAAGTTGCAACTTACGGGGGGCATACTTTGAACATTGATGAAATTACTTTTTCCTGCTCTCTCTGTGGCTGTTTTGAAAAAAATTTAACATTTCAATGTTTGTCAACAGGTAAAACAGATGATGTTAAAGCATCAGAGAAAGTCAAAACATCGCTTAAAGGTGGACCACTCCAGCGTTCGCCCTCAGATGCAGGAAAAAGCAGTGGTGATGAAGGAAAAAAGCCACCTTCAGGAATTGCAAGACCAACAGCCACTAGCTCATTTGGCTTTAAGAAAGCTGGGGTAGGCTCACCAAACATAACTGGAGGAGGTGCAATTCTAACTAGTGGATCCGCAACACTTGGGAAAATGCCTAAATCAGCAGCGATTGCAGGAAAAGGGGCTGGCAGGAAAACTAGCCTTGATGGCTCCCAAAATGAAGATGATGGGGTATTGCTGGCTAACTCAAAAGCTACACTCCAGTATCGTAGTTTACCACGTCCTTCTAAGTCCAGTACAAGTGGTATTCCAGGTAGGGGTGGACATAGATCCAGCACTAGTAGTATCGATTCCAATGTAAGCAGCAAGTCAGCAGGTACAAAACTTAGAGAGCCCTCAAAAATGGCCTCAGAGCGTTCAAGTCCTGTCACCATCAACCAAACTGACAAAGAAAAGGAAAAAGTGTCAGATTCTGAAAGTGTCTCATTGTCAGGTTCTGCTAAATCAAGTCCAACATCAGCCTGCAGTGCTCAAGGCTTGAGGCAACCAGGATCAAAATATCCTGACATCGCTTCACCAACATTCCGGAGGTAAGAATCATTTTACTACCCTTGTTTTTTTTATATCGTGTTCAACAAGCAGCATATTTTACAAAACATAATTTTATCTTTCATTTCTTTGGCATGTACCAATTGTGTAGTACTTCACAATGGACAACTTTTAAATACTGTGTGTATTGGGAAAACTTTAAAGGACATGGGAATCTCTGACTAAAAGTATAATTATTATTTTATATTCCTATAATGTCTTCTCACTGGGGACTCAAGGCACTTATAAAATTGGTATCAGGGCAGCCATTTTGGGCACCTTCAGTAGAATATCATATCATAGGTTATTTGGCTTCTGTCCAAAGTTAACCCTATCGGCATCTCTTTGGAGTGTGGGAGGAAACCGGATTTCCCGGAGGGACCCATGCAAGCACAGGGAGAACATGAAAAAGCCATGCAGATAGTGTAATCATATAATGAGATAATATGTACGGATATAAGGAAAACAAAATGATATGGCATTCAGAGACATCAGAAACCTTAAATCTAGTCAAAACAATAGAATCAGTTTGCCAATAGTAAACTACAGTCATGTCAGTGATTACTTAGCTTCTAAGTTAAAAGTTATTTCTCTTACAGATCATTTAAATCTAATATATACCACTATTTCCCACCTGGATAAGTAAAGATAATGCAAATACTTACCATGAGATATTGTGCATCCCTCAAATGTCAGTTCTACAGAGTTTCTTATCAAAATTAACTGTATGAAAATTATTTTAAAATGTATGACTCCCTCTTGTGGGAGATTGTAGAACTGCATGTATGAAAGAATTCGGCACAGCTCATATATCTTAGTAAACAGTTCACTAAGACACATGAGTTATTAATGAGTTAATTTTTCTCTCATACATAAATATTTACATACATATATATATATAGTATATGTGTGAGATAATTATGTTTTAATTGCTAAATAACATTTAACTGTTGAAAGCCTTTATACCTCATTTTATCTAATGAAATAGTATTTTATCTAATCTACTTAATAGATGCCTTATGTAATTAAAACCAGAAGCTAAAACTATTCTAAAGAAGAACTCCATGAAAAAACAAAAATAACAAAGTTATACCTCTCTCCCCCTCCATTCCAGTGATGGTATGTCCTTTGGCGTCCTCGCGTCCAATACACTGTATTGGATGTGATGACTCGCATGACCTTAGACAGCTGGTGCGGAGGGGGAGAGAGGCTCCAGGGATTGGTTTAACAGCCAGCTGGCTCCAAGGTTCGGGTGAGAATAACATTGTTATTTTCGCTCTCTCAAAAATGAACACTTAACCCTTGCAGTGCGGTGGATTGAGATAATTTTTCCCCAACGTTCTTCTTTAGGGAGCAATAAACGTATGCAGTATTTTTTGTAATTTGGCTTTTACATATTAGATGCTGTAAAAACATTCATATAATAATATTAACACTTGAACAGACCATTTTGATGAAAATGATTACCATATTACTCATACTGGCCATTTTCCAGAAGTAAAACCAAAGACTATAGGGCTCTGGTACAAATACTCAATAGGGACTACCACTTATCTCATACAGACTCTTGGTTAGGACGATGTCAAATATCCATTTGATACAATAGACCATAGTTCCTTCTTTTTTTTATTTCTGTACTAAGCCTTCTACGTGCTATACCAACTAATGTTTGTAGATAAAAATGTGAGGGAAGAGAGAAGTAATGGGTTGAGACCTAGTGATGCACCTTATTACGGTTTTGGTCTGTGCACACCTGAGAGTTACACACCAGCATTTCTCTCTAATCTGCTGTAATGTATGGTTATCTACCTCTGAGGGTGTGTAAAGCAATAAAGGTTTGTTGATCAAAAGCATATTTATGTTGTATATACAATAATTAATGTATTACCGGAAACTAATTGTTATTTTAATTTGTAGGTTGTTTGGCACAAAAGCAGGTAGTAAATCTTCCTCTGCTGCAAATAGTGATGGTGTTAAGTCTTCTTCAGTGATATCTAGCCCCAGCAACACCTCTCTGGCTAGACAGGGCAGCTTGGATTCCCCCTCATCTGGTACAGGTAGCATGGGCAGTGCTGGTGGACAGAGTGGAGGCAGCAGCCCCTTGTTCAGCAAACCCAGTGAATTAACTCCTGATGTCATAAGCCTAGGACATTCTTTGGCCTCCAGTCCAGCATCAGTTCACTCGTTTACATCAGGTGGCCCAGTGTGGACGACAAATTTGAGCAGCTCCTCTGCTGGAAGTAAGGACACCCCAAGCTACCAGTCAATGACAAGCCTTCACACCAGCTCAGAGTCTATTGACTTACCTCTCAGTCATCATAGTTCACTATCTGGATTGACAGCAAGTACCCAGGAACTTCAAAGCATGCTGATGAGGACTGGAAGTGTTAGATCGACCCTGTCCGAGAGGTAAGGATATTTTCCTTAAAGTGACTAGGCTTCAAGTTTGCTAGTGTTACCTGCCACAAACAGAACACATAATAGCCTTAATAATTCCATAAGTATGTGTGTCAAAACTTAGAACATCCATAACAGCAGATGCAAAAGAAAAAATTAGATATTAGGGGTTAAGTGTTAAAAACATTACATCAGTGACATACTAATGAGACAGTGATTGAAAAGAAAGAGCAGAGCTCCCGTGTCGGCATAGTAGTATTAAACGGCAATAGGATGCACATTGGAATGTCTGCAAATGTACTTCAGGCCTTCTGCAGCATTATAGCAATACATCAAACTTTTATGTATTTTTTTTTAATTTTAATTCTAATGGTTTTTATCTTGTTTGTAGGGGTTTTCTTTATCTTAACAGTATGCAACTTGATCGAAACACTCTGCCCAAAAAGGGACTAAGGTATAACTATTCCTCGCGCATGACCGCTGCCTTAGTACACTTTGGGCGTCTCTTGCTTTCTGTTAGTCTATCCAACTACCTTCTCTGTTCAGTGCTGATCAAACTGTCTTTCACCAGTATATCGTATGCAACAGGCTGGCCTCAAAGGGTGTGTGCTCATTGGCATTTGTACCTGTATCCTTGGTGTGTTTCCCTGTTCTCTTGTTACAGTACATCTATGGATCACTAATCTCTATGATAAACAAATTCAGGCTTCATCTATTAGTACTAAAGCTGGGTGGTTAAAAACAGCCATGTTTCATGTCTTAAAATGGAATAGAGATAAAATACATCTGGGACACCACCATTTTGGCAGCATCCCCAGATCTATTTTATTCGTTTTTATATGTGAGTCTAGTATTTCTTTTAGGAAGTACCCTATTTTCATAAACATCAAAATTCTTCTACTTTCTATATTTGCAATAAATGCTTACTCAGAATGCCCTTGGGCTTACCTAATACGTGAAGTATGAGTAATGCGCAAAGTAGAACTAGATCCAGAACTATAGTATTCATTGGGATTTCTGCATTCAGGTAAATAAAGGGTGATTCCTGTTTTATTTTCACTTATTGTGTTTTATACATCATACTTTTTTTTCATGTAGGCTCATTTGTATGAATTCAACTGACTGTGTCTATCACAGAGAATACTGATCCAAGTTTAATTTTCATTCAAGTGGCAAGCAATAGTTATGTAACTGATTTTTTTTTTAAAAACACACCATGATCTGTGCATACATATAGCTATGCAAGGCACAGATTACATACTTTTCTATTTTTTTTTTCTTCCACATTTTAAATCTGATCTTTTTAAGGTAATTAAGTAGTATTTTTACTGTATGTGTATCAAGCTTTGGTATTGGTCTCTGTATTAAGAATTTTCCTTTTCCAGATACTAACAACTTTTCACTGCTTGCTTTTGTATTTGGTTCTGTTGATCTCTCTTTGTATTTTTCATCAATCTTTTGTGTACAACGTTGATGGTCTGTTCTTTGTGTTTGATATTATATATAAGCAAACACATAATGCATATGTTTCATGGAAATTAGAAGATTTCAGAGTCTGCGATGTAAGAAAATGCCAGTTCTTGCTGTGCAGACATTTAGGCCTAGACTGGTTCACACTTGGACAATCCGTGACCATGCAGCAATTGTGCACGAAACTGTGCCGATGGCCGCGCAATCACGGAATTGCATACCACCGCTGATTGCACTAGCGGTGCCATACTTTTCTAATGGCAACCCCCGACCACGCCAGGCAACTGCACGTCCCGGGATAACCAAGTGTGCACCTGGCCTTACTGTTCAGGATGGCGTTCCCACTACAGACATGTAGGAAATGTTGTTATTGTATATTATTCATACATTTCTGAGTTATTTTTATGAAAGTATCATTGTAGATTGCCTGTGTGTGTTTTGCAGGAGAAACACAACATTCTGTATACTAGTGCTGTTTGATGTACAGATATTAGTGCTTTTACTTTCCAAGTGTAACGTTTGTCAGAGAAAACAATGTTCCAGAAATAATAATCCACTAACTGAAGCCTCTCAGTGACACCATGCGGGCTGTGTAATGGACACTGTTGGCCATCAGGTTCAATGGACCTTCAAGTACAAAAAGAGTCCAAAAGGAAAGTGCTTGGTAGCGAATCAGATTAAATGATCATTTGCTAGTGCAGGTTTTTTGCTTTTAAATGGCCTGTGACCGATGCATTGGCCTTACATTTTTCACTTGCCAATGTCTATAACACCTGCTAAGAAATTAGCAATTAGTCCATTCTCTGCTGTTTACAATAATAAAAAAAAAAAAACACATGCGAGTGTAAATAAACCCAGTCACATTTTATGATGATCCGTTTTCCTTTTAGGCACTTAGTATCCCAAATTAGGATGAATGCAAACAGATAATACATGTTCAGCAGATGTTTTAGGATGCAACTAAACAACTTTTATTGGTTCTAGTTTGGAAATGTTCATCTGCAGAACTTCAATTCTATTTTATTCAAATTCATACTGACCTAGATAAATAGCTAATGTTGTTGTATAATTATATTTCACTGTGTATTGGGATAATCTGTTTCAATCTTGGTACTCTTAATATTTCTTCACTGTGTAATTGTTTCTGTTCTGCATGCTTGTGCTAAAGCATATTGTGAATATAGCAGCTTTATGCTTTGAAGAAGAGCTTAAAGGAGAACTATGAGGTGAGTGCTTTTCACTCACCTCATAGTTCTAGCCGACCTGTGACAATGAGACTGTCACAGGTCGGCTTAGTAGATCGGGAGGTGAGCGAACACATACCGGCATTCGCTCACCTCTCCATCCTGTCACAGCTCTCTGCCGTGACAGGGGAGGGGCTGGATTCCCCCTCCCCGCTCTGATCCGCCAGCGCTGACTGGCGGAACGGAAGGGGGAGGGGACAGCTACAGCTGGCTCTGCCTCTAGATAGGCAGAGCCAGCTGTCAGTCACGCAGCTGGGCAGATCCAGACATAATTGTCGGGATCCGCTTTAGCTGCGGCGTCTCAGTATACCACGAGCAGCAGCTTGCGGTATACTGCGGCGTCTCAGTATACCGCGAACTACAGCTTGCGGTATACTGCGGCGTCTCAGTATACCGCGAGCTACAGCTCGCGGTATACTGAGCCTAGGGTGACGTGAGGACGCTAGTTTGTGTCCTCCTGTTACCCTAAAGAGAACTATGGGGGAAAGCCTTAACCCCATAGTTCTCCTTTAATGCTTAATGCTGCAGTCATTAATTATACCCAATTTGCTTGCTCAGAACCACTGTTAGTTACGGTACCTTGTATTGTTTCTAACTTAAATAGCATACATTGTAAAATGTGTGCTTCTTGTGTTCTTTATTTTTAAAGTAAATACACTTTTATTGCATGTATATTACTTTTTCAGGTGAATTTACATGTTGAAATAATGTAAAAAAATAACCCAATGTGAAGGTATCTGAAATATATCACATTCAGTTTCATGTTATTTGTTCAAAGTTTACTCAATGTTCCAAACTGCACACCTGATAATATTTTTTTAAAAAGTACATTCTGCCATCTCTTTGTTTATGAGTGACTTGAGCATCAAAACAAAATATAGCATGTAGTCTCAGCATGGTCTTCCATAACTAATTACATATTAAAGAAAAATTTGTTGTTTACAAAGTTAGGTTGCATATGGGCATGAATACTGTCTTCGCCTGCTAACGTTTACCTGTAAGCAACACTTTCTTAATCAGATCTTCATTTGGATTTGATTACACTTAACATGGTATCTACAATCAAATAAATATTGTTGCATGTCTGCAGATATACACCATCGTCTCGACAGAGCAGTCAAGAAGAGGGTAAAGAGTGGCTGCGTTCTCATTCAACAGGAGGACTGCAAGATACTGGCAACCAGTCTCCTCTTGTCTCCCCATCAGGAATGTCCTTATCTACCAGTGGGAAATACCATTACTCAAATTTGGGTAAGCAATGTGGGAGGGCCAATATACAAGACCACTGACATTTTTCTCTGACATAAGAAATACTAAAACTGTTTAAAGTGAAGTTGTCTCTCATACCTCTGACTCAAGAAATACTAAAACTGTTTAAAGTGAAGCTGTTATCTCTCATGATTGAAATGAAGGATGAAATCTGACTAATTGCTAATGGCAACATCTTCATCTTTTTCTTTTCTTTCAATCAAGCCCCAGTGGTAATAAGGGAAAATAACAGTGCTGCATGTACATTTCCTTTGAAGAATTCATGTGGCTTATCATTTAAGCACAGGTTATACGTATTTAATGCACACTGTGCCAAAATAAATGAATATTGGTAATAATAATAGCACTAAGAATTGTGCAATTGTAAAGCTTGATCTGTAAACTGTCTGTTCCAGTGAGCCCTACCAGTTTATCCCAGTTTACAATTCCTGGACCAAACATGATGCGATCCAATAGCATTCCAGCTCAAGATGCTTCCTTCGAATTATATGAAGATTCACAGCTAGGAGGAAGTGCTACCTCGTTGGAGGAGAGACCAAGAGCAATCAGTCACTCAGGGTCCTTCCGAGACAGCATGGAAGAAGGTAATGAAATTGCTGTAATTACATCATGGAGTCATGTTTTACATCATAAACTGAGCCTCGTTACAGTATTTGGCAACTGTAAACAACATATTTTTGTATTTCCTTCTCCTACACCTTACAGAAACCTGATTAGATGTGTGATACAGCACACATAGTTCTTATGTGACCATTGGATGAATAAATAAGGGTTATTATCTTTAAAACATTAGTGAAATTATTGAACATGTTTTGAAATAATAATTGATAATATATACTGCATGCAATATGCAGCAAACATTTAATTGTTGTCAAAGTCAATAAAATAGATTCACTTTCATGTAACAATATGTAGAGAAGAAAATGTTGCACTCCAAACAGTTTTCCAACGCAATAATACTGAGTGCTGCAGTGATGTAATCATCCAGCACCTTGGTCCTGCTTACAGAAATCTTCAAAAATCGAACCTCACTAGCACTTCATCATCATTGGGGATACAAACCAGAATTCATTATACACAGACATGAACTGTTATGGATCATCCCCACCCACTACACTTGACAACCACTCCCACATAATAGTAAATAACTGATTAACTCACCCAGGTAATGATCACCTTAAGCTTCCATCACGGCTATGTCGCAAGTGTCAAAATACTCTTAGGTAAATAGCCTGTGATGTCTACTTTATATAAATATATACTTTTGTGTGGCAATTTTGTTTTCTGTGTTGGCTATGTAACTCTAAAGACAAACATACCAAATTCTATAATTGTTCCAAATTGAAATTGTGACCAGTAAATACGAAAAATAAACTGAAATCCTAGACATATTATGTACTCTGTAAAACAGGACAAAGAAATTATTTTATTTTTAATTACTTTTCCTAAGCTGCGCTAAGTATGTACACAATATTATTGCCAAAACAGTAAAAAAAAAGTTTGTAAAATTTTTTCAATTTTTTTTTATAATAAATGAGAACATATATATGTATAGGCCACATCAAATTAAAGCCCTTTTTATCTCTTTAAAAAGGGTATATAATATGTGTTGGTACAATAAATGAGAAAGATGGAAATTGCGGTTGAAAACACACATAGCAAAAATTACTTTTGTGCTTAACTGGAGGACAAGCATCTGAAGCTTGGTCCTTAAGGGATTAAAGCCCCATCTCACACATGGGCCAGTACATACCATTGTTTTTTCAGACCACATAGGAAAATTATAGTGGTAAATGGTGCCATTTGCTCCATGAAAGTGACAGCAGGAAGTGCACTGTTGTCCAATCAACAGCCCAACATCTGTCACCTATCCTAAGTGACATCATAATTGGGCAAACAGCGGGACAAACAGCCAATCACAGCAAATAAAGTCCCTGGTTGCTGGGAAACCACAAGGTGGTGTCTAAAAGGAGTCACAACAAATCAAGGTGCCACCTGACCTGGCAGAGAATATCTAGGCAATGGTAAATGCACTTCAGAGGGCTAAAAAAAGGAAAATAAATTGTGGTAAAAATTGCACCAAATGGAATCGCCATTACCATATGGCAGTAAAAACATCAACAGGTAAAATAACAAAAAGTGATGATGAAAGTGGTTCATTAAAGAGAGTATGATAACAACACTAATAATGATCATTTAAAACATTCAGAAAATAGGTAAACCTGACAATATCTGTCCATATGGCGGGAAATATATTGATACTCCAAAAAGTTTTTAAAAACTGTAATATATCAACCAAAAAAAGGTTATAATTAGGGATGCACCGATACTGGTATCGGTGCCGCCAAACAGCCGGCTCGATGCTGATTGGCTGGGAAGCTGGCTTCCCGGATATTCAGCATTGAGGCGGGCAAACAGAATGGAGTTGCCTTCCTGGCTAATCAAGAAGGCGGCTCTATGCTGATTGGCTGGGATGCCGACTCCCAGGCCAATTAGCAATGAGCCGGCCAAACAGCATGGAGCCAGCTTCCCGGGTAACCAAGAAGCCGATCGGTGGGTATTGACAGGCCACTCGGCTTTCTGATTGCCCGGGAAGCCAGATCCATTCTAGCGGAAGTACTGGTATTGGTATTCGGTATCGGCGAGTATTGAAAGATAAATATCGGTACTGGATACCAAGAAAACAGTATTGGTGCATCCCTAGTTATAATAAATCATTAACTTCTTGATCAAGGGCACTTGATCAAACCGACAAACCACTAGTCTAATCAAATTTACCTCTAATCAAAAAAGCTGGCATAAGAGTGGGCCGTATTCAAGCCAGCTGGTTCCACAGTGTTCTAAGTATGTATCTAAAACACCTATTGCCGTAAAAGCATACAGGCTTTATTGCAATTGAGATTTAGGATTATGTTCAGTTACCTATCCTCTAAATTCATGAATTTCGTGGCCCTTAATTGAAAAATGCATGGCCACCAGTTTGTTGGTATTCAGATCTGCGTTCTTTGATTCAAGAGCTAACTGAATATCCAAGCAATGTTTCCAGAAACATTTTTTAAAGGTGTCTAGGGTTTTCCCTTTGTAAACCAGGGAGCATGGACAGCATAACAAACATAGAAATCTGTGTTATGTAAAATGTCCCTGTATTGGGTATGTTTTTCCACTTAAGGGATGATAGAAGTATTCTTCTAGAATAATGGAATTCCAGATATTGCAATTATACATTCTGCAATTTTTATTCTTACTAGGGAATTCGCTGGATCAGCTCTGTGTCCCCTCCAATCCCCATTGCCTCTACCACATCTAGTGGATAGCAGCTGGGAATCGGAGAGGACACAGACCGTAGCATGTAGTCAGCTCCCAGGAGGGAGGAGAGAGGTGCAGAGTAGCGGCGGCTTCGGGCTTCCAACCCAAGCCCAGGCCCCCCTGCTGACCCGATGGGCCCTGGAACCGGAGGGCCAGCTGCCTGCAGCTCCCTTAATAATTTTGGGCAACTGGCCCCCCCATGCAACACCCCTGCAGAAGGTCTGTAGAAGGAAACAATTCAGTAGTCTGTTTGCAGCTGGGTCCCTCCTTATAAATTTCCTTTTTCCTGGGCAGAGCACGCATAAGTACGCTCCTTTTTCATTACCTGCTTTAAATGCAAAAAAAAATGCAACCTATTTCCAAACACATCTACTGCAGAGTGTTTGCTGTCCATCTGTAGTGAAAGCTTCATATCATATAGTGTCAGTACTAATAAGTTTCTTACAACAGCCAGTCTTATTAAAACCTGCCCTGGAGGTTTCAATATGCTGTGTGATAGCAAGCAGAGGGAGTGGTAGATGCTCAGCACAGGCTTCAGAATATGTTTTCCCAGTGACTCACATGTGGTCTCTGGATTCTAGTTGCAGTGGTTACACAGAACTCACATGAAGGTATACTAAGGAGTCTTTTTGGTTTTTAGCTTAGTTGCATTGTTTAGTGGACAGTTAATTAAGTGGATTTAGTTTATTGTTGCCTGACATTGCTGTGGATTTTGTATCAACATGTCCTTGTTCTCCGGTATTATTCAGTTATGATTTTCTTATTTGCTTGTCATACCAGTATGTTGAATTACATGTATGTTTTTTGTTTTTCAGTTCATGGATCTTCTTTATCATTGGTTTCCAGCACATCTTCTCTTTACTCCACTGTAAGTCAACACTATCTATTGTATCTATTGTAAATATTTTAAAACAGGTGGTTTGACTTTGCCTTTCACTTGAAAACAAAGTTAAATAAATAGATTTTGTTTCCATACAAAGAAAAGCTCTAGGTGAGCAACAGGTGTGTTTCTTGGTGGTGTGTACACAATGGCGTATATTAAGCTTGCCACAAAAGATATCTCATGTAGCTATCGTTCACAGCACCATGTAATTTATTTCTTTTAGCCAACTATATTAAAAATACTAGTGCTTATGCAGTCTTAACTGAATGCAAACCCTATTCTAGTCTATTTTGTTCACAATTCTACCTTTTGCAGCGTGTTTACATTAAGTGAATGTCCCAGCTTGTACTCGACGCACTATAGTGAATTACAAATGTTTATTGAATCTCTAAGTTTGCATAAAAGAAGCATAGCAAACACGTCATTTAGAGCTAGTCTGTGCAAGGTTTGCTTGGCTTTGTAGTGTATTTTGATACATATAAGATCACACAGATTAAGATAATTTAATTTACATTAATTACTAATGATGGGCTTATCTGTTGGACAGTGGCTGTTTTGCTGACTAACCTGACCTCTCCCAGTTCTAAAACTAAATACCGGTGGAAATTCTGCTTATTTCATTGTGGTCAGTAGATGTCAGCAGTGATTCAGCTGCATTTAGTCTATCAGAACAGTCAGTAACTTTGTATTGTTAAAATCTTGTTCTACTGCAAATAATCGTATGGCGAAAACCTTCTGGAAGTGTTAAAATGTTTCATTCCATTGCAAAATCATTCCATGATTTTCTTGACAGATTTATATGTACCATTAGACCACCCTTATACTTTACTATTCAAACCATACAACTAATGCAGTCCTGCAAAGGAGTATATGAAGAAGCTCAGTAATTAATGCCATTGAGAACTGCTGAATATACCTCCCTACACTTTAAATTGTGTAGAATATGCAATTCAGTTACACAGGGTTCTGTGATGCACAAACAAAACAGCAGCTTTAGATTCTGAGCTTTATATTCTTCTTTGAAGGATTATATTATTAGCATGAGTTTTATATATACAAACCTGTTCACGTATTTTTAGAGCTGAACTTAAAACAGATTTAAAAGGCACAAATTAAATCAGTTCTGTATTCATGAATATATTGTTAAATGTATTTTAAATGCAAGCAGTGAAAATACTTAATTTTACTTGGTATCAGACCGTGTTTAGTCCAAAACTGAGCTCATCATTACTGAATGCAAAGTACTAAACACTGGAGGAATAGCGCCCCCGTTTATTGACTGACAAATGTTGCAGCTGCTCAGCAATTGCTGATTTTAATCCTGGTTGCAATCCATAGCAGATGCCCAAATAGATTTTGTTAGCTTAGAGTTAAGATTAAAGTTGAACAGAGTCTCTTTGGTGTTGTGGAACCCTCTATGATATGGTATTTTTCTTTAAATTTAGAATCGTAATGTAATATTTATTTATGTTCTTTTTGCAGGCTGAAGAAAAGGCACATTCAGAGGTATGGATATGTTCACTAAAGTATCAGATTAATTAATGTGTTTACATATTTATTATAGCTTTGCCTACGTGAGTGTATTGAATATGCATAATGTTTGCCTTCCCTGTACCTGTGGCGCATCTCCTAGGCTCATGACCGCACTCAATTTCAGATTTTACCCTGGGTGTAATAGTGGACATATGTTCATGCAACCTTTGTCCACATGCAGCTGAGCCCCCACACACTTACCTAGCCTGTGCCTCTTCAGTCCTGAGCTTCCCTGTGCCTATGTCATTGCCACCTGGTCCATGCAGTTTCTGGGTATGTTCAATCTGTCGTTTCTGACTGCTGGCATTGCTCCAGATAAGTTTCATCTGTTGCTACTGGCTGCTGCCATCACTCCATATACATTCCATCATTTGCTCCTGGCTGATGCCTTTACTTTGGGTACGCTCCTGGCTGCTGGCATAATTTCTGGTACATTCTATCTGTCACATCTGGCCACAGGTAGGCCACATGCATCTCTCCAGGTACACTTCACCTGTTGCTCCTGACCTTTGAACTGGTTCCTAGTGCCCTCCCTTTGCCCAACTCGGCTCCTTCGAGGGCTTGAATTTGGGCACAGCTATTACTGGTAAAACTCCCTTTGCTGAACTCTGCTCCTTCAAGCCCTTGCAGCTGAGCACAGCTATTCTTGGTATGCTCAATTTGCCCGAATTTGCTCCCCGGAGACCTTGCAGCTGGGCACACACTACCTGGGGTGCTCTGCCAGCTCCTTTCTATCCACCCTAGTAGCCTGACCATTTCTATAGGTGGTCCTGTTGCGTCTTCCTGCTATGTCTGCCCCCCCCGTGAGAGGGTTCCTGGTGAACACAGCCTCTCCTGTAGACTTCGCAGCTCGGCAACCAAGTTATAGGTTCCGTTTGCTCTGTTTTATTCATGAGACAAAGCCAGCTGATTTTTTCAGATAACATAAGTTTAAGACACTACTGAATGCAATTTCCAAATCTTTTGACCTCAGTCAGAACCTTTATTTTTAGGTATGGATAGAATGGGGAACTGCTAGGACTTTTGTTATTTTCTTTCTTATTTTTGTTGTAGGTTTTCTTTTTTTTTGGGGGGGGGGGGGCACCTAATGTCCTCCCTGGTGGCAGGAAGTGAGGGTAAATCTCTTAAAAAGAAACATACAGCAATAAAAAACAGCAGTTCTAAATCTCTCCAACTCTGCTAAAATTAAGTGGTTTTATTGCTGCGTTTGCATTTAATAAGAATAATAACCCTATGACTACACAGTGACTTCCTCACTCTACCCAAAACAAGTTCTTTAATAGCATTGAAAATGACAAAAAAATGTTTTAAAAAATAATATGCAAAGAAAACTATGCGAGCTAACTCATGAAACCTAGTACATAAAAAGCAAAATATGTTAAATAAAAAGAACATATAATTTTGTTTTAAAATGCGGCCAATCAAAAAACACGTGTTTGGATGTAATATATATATATATATGTATGGAGCCCAATGGCGAGGGATGAACATACATGGAGTGGATGTGACAGGAATCGATAGCGTCAAGCCGATAAGGGAAGTCCAGTTTTCATAGTCAAATAACAGTCCAAGGTCGATGCAGGCGGAGGAGGTTCTCATGCGGTTATACATTATATATATATATATATATGTAAGATAAGACTGTGGACACAATTACACACCCCCTAGTGCCAGTGTCATGCATAAAATATATCAGGTTACATTTACTTAACTTAATCTCTCTTACATAGGTCCATAATCTTGAAATGATGCACATCCCAGATAGTTACTGAGGAAATGGCAAAAAAAAGAGAATCTTTTGCCAACTTGCTAAAGCTTTTATCATGGCCAGGAAATGGATTTATTTTTCATTTTCTGTTTTCAAGAAGGCCACTTTTTTCCTGTCTTGGTGACTCTATTCCTTTTCTAATATGAGAGCAACAAAACCTGTCTGGTAATTGCCAGATTCCGATCTCCCAATCATTCTGTGAGTGACATTTCATATCCTCAAAGCATGTGGAGGCAATCTTGCTGGAGGAAGTTATGTAACCAGTCAGTATAATATTTGAGAAATTACTTACTAAGCCTTTTCCATCCTCACTCCCTTCTGGAGATTATTACAGGTATAATGTCCACAACCTCACTTTAAATGTTGTTGTTGTTGTTTTGTGTATTCCGAACTAGAATACATATATTTGCTGGATATTAAATTATACCATTTGAACGTAACTGGAGTGACATAAATCCAAGCCAATCCCAAAAGCTAGCAGTACATTAATCTATTGGTTTGAGAATGAAGATTAGAGACCCTGTTACCAACTTAAAAACAATTTGAAGATAAAAGCACAGAAAAAATAAGTTCTTAGCATGCTTATTTGCAATCATGCTTTATACGATTTCTTTTATTCTCTTTCGTTGTGCCTTTGAACTTGCTTAGAAAATTCAACCACTCCAGAAGGAGTCCATTCCCTTGCACAGCCCCTCCCTCCTGCCACATCATAGCACTCTTCTCTTCTAATTACTGTTTCTGCTGGCCCAACTTTTCTGCTCCTCCCCTGATCTCATTACATACCTTTTATGTAGCAGCCAAGGTAGGAACAAAGGTGAATACAATAGAGCTTCATTAGAGTGACAGCTCTGAGTCTGATGGGGCTGCTGACATCACATCCAAGATGGCTCCGCCCAGCAATAGTCTCAGGGCATTTGGATGTCTACACAATGAAAGCTTTTACAGGTAAATAACATGTATAAAATAAAATATGTTAAATGCTTATATAATCGTATGGGTTGATGTTGTTGAAATGAATAGTCTGGAAACAGGGTGTCTTTAAGGAAGGAAAGTACAATGTATTGCTGGGTATTAAACATTTTTCATAGACTTCATTAATTGGCTTCATCTCCAGCAAATGTATCAGCTTACACAGTCAATGTAAACTGAACATTGCAGTCATTCAGTAAAATACTGAATAATAATCAGAATTGTTAGGTGAATGGTCAGAGAATAAAAAAAACTGCTTGTTAAGTATACCTGGAAAACTATTTTGAAGAAGTCTGCCATCGCTCAGATCTCTCTCTGAAAATACCAGTGTATTTTCTATCTTAATGACTCTCTGGCTTTAGTACTCTGTTCATTGACCTGGAACAATTAAACAGATCCAGAAGCCTGACTTTACTGGTCCACGTGCATGTTCTGGGTCAGTGACCAAAGACAACTAAGCACCTTCCATTTTCAGGAGATCAATGGCACTCTATGTATTTTTCTGACCACGGTTTAATTGCTCTGCAAACTTCTTTACTTTTGATTACCAAAATAATTGTTCTTTTTAATCAGTTAGCTAAAAAGTACCAGTTCTGCCTATTACATAATTATGTATGTTCTTGCATATTATTATTTAGCAGATACAAAAGCTGCGAAGGGAGCTGGTAACTTCACAAGGAAAAGTTGCAACGCTGACATCTCAGTTGTCTGCAAATGTGAGTACTGAACCAGGGCGTATGAACCTGCAACAATAATGATACAAAGCAAATTAACTCGTTGATTAGACTAATAAATGATCACATACATTAAAGTTCTTGCTCCATTCTAGTACATGTACAGTGACTCTTAAAAAATAATTAGCTTCGTGGCCCCAAAACTAGTGTGTGGTGTGTGAGTTTGAGAATGACTGCAGGTGTGAATCTCAGACAGGTGTTCAACAGACATGTAACAGTTTTTAGATAAGATAAATTAATGCCTATAAAGTGTCTTTGAAAATGTATAAATGCAGAATGTTTAATGGACTGGCAAAAAAACAGCAGCATGTCTTAACTATGGCAATGCCATTGCTTTTCTACTGAAAAAAACACCACTGTATTTATAAATTGCTCTAAAACCTTTTTAAACCGTGTCCCATTTCCCCTTTGTTTAGGAGATGTGAAATGATATTGTTTAAGAAGTACCCGCTTCTCTAGGTCACTTATAAAGAACTGCTGTGTGCATTATAGTTGCCATTTGCACTTTGCTTGCTTTGGGACTCCGAAGTTAAGCCCTGTTAATTTAATAACCTCATTGCCAAAATGTGTCAAGAGAAGAAAGAAACTGGCCTCCTCTTGTCATATGACCTTGAAATTGGTCATGGGATGATAATCGCCTGCAAGTGTTCATTATGGCAATATGGATCCACACTTCACTTTGAATGTATATAAATAAAATGTAAAATGCCAGCGTAGTGTGGGGTATTTTCAGCAATGTCCTGCATGTTGTTTAGAGAAAAAAACTATTGTGTTTAACTTATTTTCTGAATAATATCATTTAGGAAAGAATTATGTTTTGTTTGCCAAGTAGACCAAATATGGCAAAAACAAAAATAAGGTGCCATTCCTTGGCAACAAGTTACCTTATTGGTCTTTAAATAGTTAAATCTATTATGCATAAATGGGATATAAAGTTAATGGCTTCCTTAGGGAAGAATGTCTTCCTCTCTTCCTATGCTCCCTACATTCTCAAATAGAGCAGCAAAAGAAGTGATGGAAAAGGATTAAACAGGTGCATACTCCATGATTAATAGCTAAAAATTAGGTCTTGTTGCAGATCTTTTTGCTTATGCTAGCTGCTGGTACCCCACTTCCCACAATGCCATTTGTATTAGTAATAGTGAGTAGCTAGCGGCCCTTCATTATTTAGAAATCTAGCTTTATGCAATCCTCTTATTTCTTAGAAAAGAGGAAATTAGCAATATGGCCAGTTCCATTACATACATTTCTATAGTTGATTGTAGTAGCAAATGGCACCTTTTTTCTATTACATTGTGTCGCCAAAATGTCAAATGTTTTATTGCCCTCTTGTGTCCGCACTAGGTAAATTCACCTTTTGTATATGCTAATGTCCAAGAACAAGAAAGTAGTCACATTGTACTCTATGATCTCTTTATTGTCATAAAAAAGATCAAATTTCTGCACCAATATCAAAGTAAATATATACCACCACCATTGCAACTGACAGATCTGTCATTAAAAACCAGCAACAATATGGAAACCTCGCACAAGCCATACACATTCAAACTATGGTACAAAATACACTGGGGGGAATTTATAAAAACGAGAGCAGACACAATCTGGAGCACTTACTCATAGTACCTGTAACAGAGCTCGGTACCCCGGCTGGCTATATCCACTAAAGTCACAGCTTCCTCTCACTATCAACCCAATCCAAAGTCTTCCATCAGGTCCCAAACGCAGTCATTATAGTATTATTACCCAGCCATCAGGCCAAAGATTGATGTAGGGTTATGCAGTTCTACCCAGGAGCCAGACAAGATGTGGTTTAGGGTAGAAAAGAGCTAGAAAAGAGACCCAGCACAGCATGTATACAGTTTGGGATGGGTAAAAAAATAATACAATCAAAACATTAAACAATAAAAGCAAACATCCCTCCCCAGTGCCTGAAAGTTCAGAGCCAATATCATTCTTCTGCCCTTTAAGCCTTAATGGTTTGATTAGCCAAGCTATGTACATGGCATGGGGTGAGAATAAACACAATAACAGGTATATTAAGATTAACTGTTTCCTGAGTGTCTCTAGTATGTTAATTTACTCAACTACACCTAGTGTCGAGTTACATTAATCCCATTATTAAAAAAATCACACAAATAGACAAACAGACTTTAATGATGTAAAAAGGAGTCCAGGGTCAGAGTTAACCCCTTGTGTGCTGCTGCATTCCATATTGCCACAGTCAGTTCAGGTCTGGGTGATAAGGTTTGTGAAACTGGATACTAAGATGACCTTCTATAACAAGCTCCATAGTCCACAGATTCTCTAGTAACTGGGGAAACGTGGCACCCTGTACCAGGGGGAAGAAGTAGCTACAATGGCCGTCTTGTACCCACCTCCTGAAAACAGAACTAATTTCTAGGCCAAGGTCCAAAGTAGGTGGGGGGGAGGCTGGCCTAGAGGTGCCCAGGATATGAAGGCTTCAGTGACAGTAACCAACCAGCTTCTCTCTTGAGTTTGTTCAGTTAAGCTTGAAAAATAAAACATAAAAGCTGTTTGGTTCCCATGTACAGCTGCTACATATTTTGTCTGCTCCAGTTTTGCAAAATTTCCCTCAAAACTCTTCTGCTAAAGCTTTAAAAAGATAATTGTTTGCGTTAAAACAATGCACATTTAGCTTTGACAGGTATTTTATATATTATTATATTTTTTTATGACAATAAAGAGTTCATAGAGTGCCATGTGACTTCGTTCTTGTTCTTGGACATTAGTGTGTTAATAGGTGTTTGACGTTTTTACACTACAGCTGTGTGTCAGAAAATGTTTTCCCTTAGCATGGGATTAGCACACAGGTGTAGAGCCATAATATAGTAGATTCACCCTATTTGTCCTTGGTTCATGGGATAGAAAGTGATGGAAAATCCAAAATTGTCACCAAAGTAGGAGGTGAGGGGAAATCTTCCAATGGGCCAACCATTAAGGTACCAAGAGTCTAAAGCTGGCTATACAGTCTAAATATGCAATCTCTATTCAGTCTTCTTTATATCTGCAAAAACTGTGTAGCAGAAGTCCTCCCTAAAATATCTACTCTATTTGTACCTAGTCAGGTAGGCTCTTGTACTATGTAATTGTTGGTAGACCTAAATACAATTATTTAATCGGGTGGATATGGTGTGCGACCAACTTATAAGGGGAATCCGTGTAAACAATTACTACCTCTTAAAGATAGTGAGGTGGAAAAAAGAGGTTATAATCCAACCAATATTGATAATAATTAGCCAATTGGCTTACTTTATTAGCATATATAAAAAGTTTTTAGGTATAAAAAAAAGTACAAATACAGCACCACCGTGACAGATGACCCGCATGAATACAGACTGCTCTTGCTAAAATCAAGCTTGAAAAAAATCCACTATGGACTGGTAACCACTTCCCTTTGGCTTGGCGTTTATGGATGTGAGCCTTCCTTTATACCTGGAAAGAGCCTGTGCCTGAGACGGGAGATCAGCCTTTAATGTACCTCCGGATACTGTGCCGTCCTGCAACGAGTAGTAGCGGTTACACTTTGACAAATACACCACTGCTAGGTGTTTAGAGCGAGCTACCAAGTACGGAACAGGGTGTTCGTCCTTGAGGGAAACGGTAAGATCACTCTCTCCCTTATGTCTCAATCTGTGTGCAAAATACGGCTTCGGCTGGGATGATTTGGCAACTTTGACACTTGGCTCTCCCTATAAGTCACTCCAACTGCTTCATTCTATTGATGTCTCTCTGTAACAAAACTTTGTTTCTACTTGAAATTTGATACATCAAAGCGTTTACTATGCTATGAGAGTGGAAAGCCAATTTTTGCAAGTTAAAATCCTGGAGACTTGTATAAGGAGAAAATCAGTCCTGTTTTTATCCATAATCCCTTGGTTATCAATTAGCAATATATTGCTCTAATATTTGCACATGCACTTATACCAACGCAATGGATATTACTAGTGGATCTGGGCATTACAATTAGCGGTAGCATTTAGTGAAACAGATATAGGGGTCTAAGACACGGTGTTGTTCCCATATGTTTTTAATGAGTGATATGTTTGCCAATTTTTATTAGACAGTTTCTGTCACGATGGTGCTGTGTTTGTACTTTTTTTTATACCTAAAAACCTTTTCTATATACTAATAAAGTAAGCCAATTGGCTAATTATTATCAACATTGATTGGAGTATAACCTCTTTTTTCCACCTCACTGACTTTAACAGGTGGTAATTGTTTACATATATGCACATAGGTTATCAATCGTATTAATTGATGTGTATCCCTGTACACTATAGTGGTAGGAATCGCCCTCATTTTGGAGATTTTCTCAGAGACAAGAAGTGAATGGAAATCTCAGAAATGGGACACAGATGGCAAACTATAAACTGATAGGGGTTTAAACGTTTTCCTACTCTTTCCAACAGCATACACTTTAATTAGTATTTAAACATTGGAAATAACATCTGTCTAAACTTTATGATTACTGGTGCTGTCTGTGTTTTCAAAGCGATTGAGACAGCTCAATATAAATTCATAGTGGGTAGAGTAGGAAATTAGGTGTTATGCGGGCAGGTACATAAAAAAAAAAAAGGAATTGAAATGGAAAAGGGTTTGGATAAGGACCACTTTACTTACACAGGCTGTTGCTGTGACTCACCCGGTCCTTCCCTTTCTTTCCTCTTCACACAAACATAGCTGTCAGCTGTGTTTTCTCCTCTCTGACAGATCTCCCTCAGCAACTGCATCCCGCTTCCTTTCTGATGTATATCATTAGGTGTCCACAAGTTGGCAAAATTTTAAATGGAAGCAGGCCTTTGATTGACATTGTGGAGTGACCTGATTACAGTAGAAGCTATCTTTGCAAAGGCAAATTAAAGGCTTTTCATTTAAAACAAGGAGTCTATTCTCTTCTTCCATGCCACAGCCCGATAATATGTTCCTTTATAACGAGTATCTGAGCAGGCTTTCTCTTAATTTTTTTCAGTAACTGCTATACATTCTTATACAAAGAAAACAGTATGTTTTTATATGCTTATTTCTAATAAAATCATTCACACACAGAGCCACATTTATTTTTAAGGCAAAATAAAATGTATTCGTGGAAGCTTAGTTTTACAAGTAAATAAAACAATGGCTGATAAAGTTTTGCTTTTATTTCAAACACATCATGTTGTTTATACAGGTTCATGATCCAGGCCATGAAAAATAGGGCCCTTTTCTGCTACAGAGGATTTTCATTTATCAGTAATTGAAGATGACCAAAATCTCTGATAAGAGAAAGAGAAAGACAGTTACTTATCTCAATAAATGTACTCAGTGCTGGTTTATGTGCCATAAATGCGAGCTCTTGATGCTTGTTTCATGATTTTTTTTTCCTTGCTTCATTTCCAGTCTCATTTAGTGGCGGCTTTTGAAAAGAGCTTAGGAAATATGACTGGGCGACTGCAAAGCTTGACAATGACAGCTGAACAAAAGGTATGTTGAGAAAGGCTCAAAGCATTGGAACACTAAAGCTTATACATCAATGAAATTTGAAAAGTTATATAAAGCACAATAGCATGACGTGAGTTTGATCTATCGTTCCTTTTAAACAAACACATCTAATAGGTTATGTTTTGCAATGTAAAATATGTGATATTCAGATCCATTAGAGAAGACAAAGACCAGATAAATAGAGGAATGAATATGCTCTTTATGTAGCAAATGGTTTGTGCTTTGTTTTTGAATGCTTCGTTTGTGAGAAAAAAAATTGCTTTCTTTTTTGGTATATCATAACTTTAAAAGCCTTTTACTGACAGGAAGTCCTATGTGGACAGAGGACACTCCTAACCAGTCCATATCATCTAATTTAATCCTAAAGTGGACACAGCTTGATACTCTCTTATTCCTTGTCATTTTCTCATCAACAGTTGCTATCTATGGCTCACATTTATATGATCTGTATATGTAGAATTTTATTATTTACCTTATATTACCATTTCCGGTGATGATTTTGGTTATCTGTAGCTTGCGCTGAGTGATATTTTAGCATTTTATTAAGCACTTGAGTCCCAAGACCCTTTTCTCCTTAAATCCCCCGGAGTCCCAGACCGTTTTTCTTCATTTCGGCAATGTCTCTGTTTTGCATGTTTTATCATTTTAGTTTCAGGAGTCTACGCTAAGATATTATACATTGTTTTTTTTAGAATAGCTAGGATTTATTTGGTAGCAAATTTTGATTCATATATTTTTATTTCCTTACTTTTTATAAACTAAGGAAACAAATTTGAAAAAATGTTCCTTTAATTTTTGCCAACTCAACATTTATGTTATTTGCGCAACCCCATATATTTACCACAAAATATAGTAAACAAAGTTCACTAATTAAAAGATATTGCATAACAGTAGTGTGACTTTTATGTACTGTAGAGGAATAGTAAAGTTTAAAGCGAACATATGCACTTCACGAGAGCTTTAATTCTCAGGACCCTACATTGTGATGCACGCGGGG